AACAATACTCAACTTTATATGGAAAAATAAAAAACCCAGGATAGCCCAACAACTCTTTACAATAAAAGATCTTCTGGAGGCATCACCCACTGATTTCTTACAGCTTAAAATAAAAATGATTTTAGAATTTACCTTTATATAGGTTATTTTGAAACATTTTGGACTCAAGACTCCTTTTACAGCTGTATTATTGGTCCCAAGAGCTTTATTTACATGGGTACAATGTATTAATACTCACCAAAGAAGATTTAGAACTGGAAAATTTAAAATTCTATTTGAATAGTGAACCTTATATGTAAATACTTAGTTTAAAAATCAGTTTTCTTTGTTTTGTTTTTTGAGGACAGATTTCTCTTGCTCAGTTTCAGAAATTTTAGTGCATCATAGCAGATGATGCTAGAGCAGATAGATCAGTTTATATCACAGTGGCCCAGGAGGCAGACAGGAAGTGGTCAGGAAGGAGCAGTCACCAGTGACTGACTTCCTCTAGCAATGACCCACCTTGGAATGTTTCCACATCCCCCCAAATAGCGACATCACCTTAGGCTAAGCAATGAAATCTTGTCCCTCTGAGGAATCTTACATATTAAAACTATGACATTACAGCCTTGTCATTCAAATATTCAAGGACACCTTATAAGGTGGCCTCGAATTTTTTCCCTTTTATTGAAAGTAGATTTTTTTTTCACCTTATGGTTTCTCCTTCCTCTACTCCCAGATTGTCCCCACCTCTGGCCTCATCAAGATCCACTCCCTTTCTGTCTCTCATTAGAAAACAAAGAGGCTTCTGCAGGGGTTAATAATAAAATGTAACTATCACATTGGAGTTGGACATGACAAACAGAAGGAAAAAGAGCCAAAGAGAAGGCACAAAAATTAGAGACACACTCTTTGCACACCCAGTAATCCCATAAAAACACTAAACTGGAAGTTATAGCATTTACTCAGAGGACCTGGTGCAGCTGTGCAGGCCCTGTGCATCCTACCTCAGTCTTGTGAGCTCATATATGCATTTATCATGTTGATTTAGAGGGACTTGTTTTTTGCCGTCCCTCATCCCCCCTGACTCATATTCTTTCCACTCCCTCTTGCACTGGGTTCTCTAAGCTGTGAAAGGAGGGATTTGATAAACATCCAATTTAGGGCTGAGTGTTCCAAGGTCTTTTACTCTGCATAATGCCCAGCTGTGGATCTTTGTATTTGTTGCCATCTACTGCAGGAGTAAGTGTCTCTGATGATGGCTAAACAATGTACTTATTTACAAGTAATTAGGAGTTACAGAAGTCATTAACTGCTACTTTCTTTTTCTTTTACAATAGTAGTATTTGGTTTCATGCTAGGTCCCTGGACTATCTAGTCTCTGGTTCTTGGTCAAACAGTGTTGGTTATGGGGTCCATCTCATGGAGTTGACCTTATGTCAAAGCAGACATTGGTTGGTTACTCCCACAAACTCTGTGAAACCATTGCTTTAGCAGGAAGGACACCATTATTGAACAAAGTGTTTGTGGATGGCTTGGTGTTTACATTTCTCTTTTGGTAGTGTGTTGAGTACCTTCCAGTACCAAAATGCTAGAACATAGGGATGAATGCTCTATGTAGGCACCAGCTTGACTTTTCCATTTTTAATGAGTTGTGGGTGTTGGCTCAGCAATGGGGACTATCAGTTTGTATAGAGAAACCTATAGTCTTGGCAACAGTCTGGATTGTTCATGAAAGTTCTTTGGCCATCAACTTAATTAGATGTAACCCAATCCTAGCACTGGAAGCTTAATTGGTGACAAGAAATGGCCAGTTGGGACTGTCTCCCCCATTGGCAATTTCATTTAGATTGCCTTCATACAGGCATAATTTTAGGATGCTTCTACTATATTAGGTTTCCATACTACCCCTGAAATACCCCTTAATTTTAGCTGTGTTTTCTTTTATTCCTGTCTTTTCCCATCTCCCTCACTTGATCCTCCTGGTCCAGTCTCCCCCTACCATCATCCATATCTACTCAATTTCCTTTCCTAACAAGCTTTATCTGTACTTGCTTGTCTCTTACTAAAATCCCAACTTCTGAGGTTCTACAGATTGTAGTTTAGTTATCATTAGCTTAGTAGCTAATATTTCATATAAGCAAATACATACCATATTTGTGTCTCTGGGTCTGGGTTTCCTCACTTAGGATTTTTTCTAGTTCGATCAATTTGCCTGCAATTTTCTTTTTTTTTTTTTTTAATAGCTGAGTAGTACTCCACTGTGTAAATGTACATTTTCTTTATCCATTCTTCTGTTAGGATCCATCTAGGTTGTTTCCATTTTCTGGCTGTCATGAATAGAGCAAGTGTCTCTGTGGTAGGATAAAGCATCCTTGGGGTATAGGCCAAGAGTTGCATAGCTGAATCTTAAAGTAGATTGACTCCCATCTTCCTGAAGAACCACCACAGATTTCCATAGTGGCCGTACAAGTTAGCACTCCCACCAGCAATGAAGGAAGGGGTGTTCCCCTCACCCATACCCTTGCTAACATGAGCTGTCACTTGATTTTAGCCACTCCAGCATAAATCTCAGTAGTTTTGATTTGTATTTCCCTGATGGCTATGGATGTCGAACATTTATTTTAAGTGTTTCTCAGCGATTTGTGTTTCCTCTATTGAAAATTATGTACCCCATTTTCTAATTGGGTTGTTTTGTCTAGTTTCTTGATTTCTTTATGTATTTTGGGTATTAGCACTCTACTGGATGTGGAGCTGGAAGAAAAAAAACAAAACTTTCCCCATTCCGTAGGCTGCCTCATTGTCTGAATGACAGTGTCTTTTGCCATGAAACAGCTTGTTTCACATGGTCACATTTAATTATTGATTGCAGTACCTGTGCTAATGGTGTTCTGTACAGAAATTCTTCTCCTGTGTCAATGAGTTGAAGGGTATTCCTCACTTTCTCTTCTAGCAGGTTCAGAATATCTATATTTTATGATGAGAGGTGGAGTTAGGTTTCATACAGGGCTATTAAGTATGGATCTATTTGGGTTCATCTACATGTATACGTCCAGTTGACCAGCACTATTTGTTGAAGAGGCTTTCTTTTTCCAGTGTATGCTTCTGGCTTATGGAAAATCAAGTGTCCATAGGTGTGTGGGTTTGTCTGGGTCTTCAATTAGATTTAATGGTTCAACATGTCTGTTTGTGCCAATACCATGCTAGTTTATTACCAGCTTTGCAATGCAAATTGAAATCAGAAATCCTGTAGTTTTTAATTATTCAGGTTTTTTTTTTTGTTTTGTTTTTGGCTATCTTTGTTTCCATATGAAAAACTGTATGAAATTTTGTTGGTGATTCCATATGTGAAATGCTTTCAATAGGATGGCTATTTTTATAATATTAATCTTGCTGATCATGAGCATGGGGGATCTTTCCATCTCACTTGAAGTTTTTTTTTTTAAGCTTTTCATTTCACATACTAACCCCGTTCCCCTTCCCTTCCTTTCTCCTGGCCTACTCCCTTACCACTGGCATCCACTCCTCATAGGAAGTAAGGCCTTCCTTGTGGAGCCAACAAAATCTGGCATACCAAGTTAGTTTTTATCATATCAGTCTTTCATTTGCTTGGTTAGCATAATCCCAAGATAGTTTATATTATTTCAGGCTATTGTAAAAGGTGTTATTTCCTTGATTCCTTTCTCAGTCCAATCATCATTTGTATATAGGAGGACTACCGATACTGCTTTCTAAAACAAAAATGTAACAGTGTTACTGCTTTACATTCTTAGAAATCTTGTCAGCATCAGATTTTTGTGATCTGCTGTTCTAAGTATGTTCCTAAGTCACACATCATAAAGCCTCTGAAAATCCACTCTGTGCCCACTAGAGTGAGATGCAAAGCTAATGACAACTTCTGTCCATTTCCTGGGGCTCCCCAATGAAGCACAATAAATCACCACAGTCATTCTCTCATAGTTTGCTGGCCCAACTTTTAAACTCCAGGCACCAACAGTAGCAGGGTTGGTTCCTTCTGGAGGCTCTGGGGGATACTTTTTTTTAAGTGTCTAGATGCAAATATTAGCATTACTCCATTTTTGCCCTTTTCATATAGAGTACATTCCTTGTCAGTTTCTCTGTACCACCCCCTATAAGGATTAATTAAAGGCTACCCTCTTCCTGAATGACTCCATATTCGCAGATCATTGAACAAACAAGGTCGCATTTACAGGTTCCATTAGATAGGAATTTTGGAAGACAAACTTGGTATTGCCTTCCTTTTTGTCCTTATCTAAGATATAAATTCCCCACAAAAAAAAGCCCAGATTCAGAGGTATCTGAGTCAATTTCCTTTTCTAGACATCCCTAATTCCTCAAATTCCTACCATGTAGGCATACTTATATTTATACCAGACCACCCCCCTATTATTCAGGCAGCCAGCAAGACATTTTAAATGGTTTTAATGAAAAAGCTATTTTATTCCCCAAAGTACAAATAGCATTATGATCTTCTTATATACAGACTCAACAACCTGTACTAGCTTAAGGAGGTTGCTCTAGATATTTTTTACCATCCCTTTCAGCTCTGAAGTCCATGGTACTTCATTTTAGAAGACAGTAATACACATGATTATCTTAAATGGAAAACCTCTAGTACAAATAATCTGCCATAAATATGAGACACTTTAGAAATGTCTATCTCAACTCAAATGAACCAAATACAGTAAAAAAAAAAAAAAAAAAAAATACTCTTGCTCCTTGCTATAATTTAAAGCCTCAGTTCTGAAGAACACAGATTTTTAAACTAAATCTGTCCAGTCCAAAGGATGGGAGCCAGAGCACACAGCCATGTTGGATTTCCTCAGCTGAAGCTGACAGCTGTACCCCAAGATCTACTTGATCTTTTTCAATATTTTTAAGATGCCAACTCCACTATAGCTAAGTTTACGTGTTCCTTAAAGTTTAAGGGAAGCAGGAAAAGACACAGCCTTTCAGTTCTAAGTCAATGTTAAAATCATCTTCTTCCTGTTTTTTCGTTTCCTCCTCTTCTCTTCCAAGTGACTAGTAGCTTCAGCAAAAAACATAACTTCACTCTTTGCTTCACACTCTCTCTTGAGATAATCGAGACCTGCCATATTGAAGCCAATGACATCCTAGAGAGGAACACAAGAAAGTAAATGGAATTCTTTGCTGTTTAGACAATGCAGCAGTGTCTGAGTATGTGTTGTCATATTCTTTCCCTCGATAAGGACTTTTGTTGTTGGTGTTTTAAAAATTCTGTTTGTACTAATGCCAAGAGAAAGTTTACCCAAGTACAGGTTTATGTCTGTTTGGTATTGTGACAAAGAGGGCCCAGAATATGGTACCTTTTAGGGCACATATCTATAGTAGGCACTTACCTGGACTTGCCTGACTTTTGAAATAGTTGTTTCCTTTAGTTTCTCTATCACAGGCACAAGCATCTGGTTGCTTGTGATCTGGCCAAAGTGAATCCTAAAAGAAAAAAGTCATGCTGCAAAGAGAAGATCTAGCCCTATCATTTCCCCTAAGAAATAGTAAACAGATGACAAGATATAGATCCAATTCACCATCATGAGCGTAGAACACAAGCTTCTAACAAACTCAACCAACCAACAAAAACAAGAACAAAAATCACCTGCGATTCCCACCATTCAGTTTGATAATTTGAAAAATACTATAATAAACCTGATGACACGCTCACATCTTTTCTCAGAAATCTACCATGACCAGAGAGATCATGACAATAGAAAGCTCTAGAGATAGAATGGAATCTATTAAAAATGCTAACTGACATGGGGACTGGGAGTTAGCTCGGCAAGTAGGATGCTTGTCATATAAGCACAAGGACCTGAGTTTTATCCTCAGCACACATGGAAAAAGCTAAGCATGGTGGATCATCACCTAGACAAGACTGCTATCAGTCTGGCTAGCCCAGGCTATATGCTGAGTCCAAGGCCAGCCTGGACTAAAATGAAATCCTGCTTAAAAAAAAAAAAAGGAGTAAGGCCAGCATATATCTGTAATCCTCCCAGCCTTTAGAATGTACAGGCAGGCAAGTCTAAGGCCAGCCTGGTCTGCATACATGTTACATAGCAGGCAAGGATATAGAGTGAGATCCTATCTCAAAACAGGCAAAATCAGGCCAATTCCTCAAATATTTCAGTCATTTCCCTAAGCACTGTTTAACCATTTGTATGTTCCTTAGTTTCCCTTCCTATGTCCCCTCCACTTCCACTTGTGTCTGTAGACACTGAGAGAAACTGACTGGCTATTCTTTAAAATGGTGTAAGAACAAAGCTTTTACGCTCATCAGTTTAAAAGCAAAATAAATGGAGCAAACTGGCTAATAAACAATCTAGCATCACTTTAAGCTGCATCCTGAGCTGCACCTTACAGTCTTACCAAAACATGTGACTTTAAAAAGTAGGTCATGAGGCTTTTTTAAAGGCAAAACTATCACTTAAAGGTAAACTTTATTTTCTAACAGTTTCTGATACTGAACCACAGAATTATTAATCCCAGAACAATGCCAGCTTCAGCTAGCCCACAGCTGGAATAGTCTGGCTGAATAGACAGTATCTGTAAAAACATGTTACCTGAGGAGAAAAAAGAGGCACCGGCACAGAAGTTCGATATCAGAGCCCATCTGGATGAATTCATTGAATAATTTAAGAATGTCTGGGACGTAAGAGAATGGCAGCACAAGCAGAGCCTCTTCTAGTTCACTGAGGAGGAAAAATAAAACATTATATTCCTCAACACTATCAATTACTCCATCTTTCCCTTTATTGCTTTTCCTGTTTTTATATTTGAGGAGATTCTGTCCATTCTGAGTTAAATATTCACCTACACTCAAAATGATTCTTTTGAATGTCTTTCATACTTAACATTTCATCTGTTTAGGGAGTATTTTAGTCCCTGGATTAACGGGGGAAATATAAGTGTTGCAGATAAACATTGCTCACAAAGTCATGAAGAAAAGTCCATTCTATTCCATCTTCATGATGCTTTTCTTATGATACATATGCATACATACTGTTACACTGTGAATTACATACACACACACACACACACACACACACACACACACACACACACACACACATATATATTGTATGTGTGACTACTCCGCATATATTGACTGTATGTATATGGATGTATAGCACGAGGGCATCTGTATTTCAAGGCTTTAGAGTCTATAATGACGACTGCAATTGAGTGATTCTCACACTAATTCCTCACCATTTTAACTTTGCTTCTTCTGAAACTAGTTTCAGTATCATATCATCAATACCACCTAGAAATCTCAAGAGGATTTCAATTTGGATCAGAAATTTCTTCCTTGGTTTAAGAATTCCAGCCACACTGAATCTTCTAGAAGAGAAAGTGGGAACTACCCTTGAACAAATTGGCACAGGAGACCACTTCCTGAACATTACGCCAGTAGCACAGACACTGAGGTCTGCAATTAATAAATGGGACCTCCTGAAACCGAGAAGCTTCGGCAAGGCAAAGGAAACAGCCAGTAGGATAAAACGACCACCCACAGAATGGGAAAAGATCTTCACCGATCCCACATCTGACAGAGGACTGATTTCCAAAATATATAAAGAGCTCAAGAAGCTAGCCACCAAAACACCAAACAATGAAATTAAAAAGTGGGGTGCAGAACTAAATAGGGAATTCTCAACAGAGGAATCTGAAATGGCTGAAAGACCATTAAGAAAGTGCTCAAAATCACTGGCTATCAGAGAAATGCAACTCAAAACAACTCTGAGATACCATCTCACGCCTGTCAGAATGGCTAAAATAAAAAATACCAATGACAACCTATGCTGGAGAGGATGTGGAGAAAAAGGAACACTCCTCCATTGCTGGTGGGAGTGCAAACTTGTAAGACCACTCTGGAAATCAGTATGGCGGTTGCTCAGAAAAATGGGAATCAGTCTACCTCAAGATCCAGCCATTCCTCTCTTGGGTATATACCCAAATAGGGCATGTACATACAACAAGGACATATGTTCAACCATGTTCATAGCACAATTGTTTGTAATAGCCAGAACCTGGAAGCAACCTAGATGCCCCTCTACGGAAGAATGGATTGAGAAAATGTGGCACATCTATACAATGGAGTACTACTCAGCAGAAAAAAGCAA